CAGTGAATCAAATGACTCAAAACACCCGATTCACTTTGGTGAGTGACTCATTAACACTCGATTCAGTAAAAAGAATCAAATTTACCATCACTAATAACGAGATGAACCGGCTGAACGGCTACTACTAACCAAAGCTGACTGGTCGACCGGGGGAGTCGTATTAGCTAACCGGAACCACATGCTTCGCTTAGCCAATCAATGGCCAGAACGTCATCGGAAAAGCCAGAAGTTTTGAAAAGGCACTGCTGACTGAAGAATGAGACCAGTGTTTCCAACTTAGCGATTTTGTCGCTATATTTAGCGAGTTTTCAGACCCCCCCTTAGCGACTTTTTTTCTAAAAAGCGACTCTCGACAAATCTGGCGACTTTTACTGGTATTATTGGAGACTTATTTATAACGACCTTTTGACGTGAAAACGCGTATCGCTCTTACTCTCAACAAGCAGCGGATGGCCATTCAATCACATTCAGCTAAAACTGGACAGACAGATTAAATCAGTTGTTAAGGTCAGTCTCATTCAGTTCAGTATGATTGAATTAACCCTTTGTTTTAAAGACCTGCAACTGGTCATACGGTATATTCCCAAAAGTCTCCGTCTGGCAATCCGATGGACGACTCTGGGTTTGTCCGTTGCCAGGAGAACTGTGCATTGGTCTTAATATGACATCTATTACACGTTTGCAGCTGGTCTAAAATACTGTAGGTTACCTATTAATGGCTAAAGAGAAGCAAGACCAGATTACTGAAATTTTAGCCTCCCTTCACTGGCTACCTGTTTGTTTAAGAATCAGTCAGTCAACATGTTCCCAGTAGTTCCATAATCCAAAAGCAACAAGGGACCGTGCTTTGTTACGTGGCTTCACTAAACCTAACACCAGGAAAAGTATAATATTACAAATATACACTACATGTTACAAATATGTAGCGTCTTCCCCTGAATGAATATTTTGAGGAAATGTATTCTCATGGTCTGTAGCTTTACTCTTTCAGGTGCAGTTGTTGG